TTTTTTTGGGGGGGGGGGGGTAGAAGGATTACTTTATCCTATCCCAGGTATTCCTTAAAGAGGTGGGGTTTCAAATGTCTCCGGAAGGTGGTGAGTGACTCCGCTGTCCTGGCGTCGTGAGGGAGCTTGTTCCACCATTGGGGTGCCAGAGCAGCGAACAGTTTTGACTGGGCTGAGCGGGAACTATGCTTCCGCAGAGGAAGGGGAGCCAGCAGGCCAGAGGTGGATGAACGCAATGCCCTCGTTTGGGTGTAGGGACTGATCAGAGCCTGAAGGTACGGAGGTGCCGTTCCCCTCACTGCTCCATAGGCAAGCACCATGGTCTTGTAACGGATGTGAGCTTCAACTGGAAGCCAGTGGAGTGTGGGGAGGAGGGGGGTGACGTGAGAGAACTTGGGAAGGTTGAACACCAGACGGGCTGCGGCATTCTGGATGAGTTGTAGGGGTTTAATGGCACAGGCAGGGAGCCCAGCCAACAGCGAGTTGCAGTAATCCAGACGGGAGATGACAAGTGCCTGGATTAGGACCTGTGCCGCTTCCTGTGTAAGGCAGGGTCGTACTCTCCGAATGTTGTAGAGCATGAACCTGCAGGATCGGGTCACCGCCTTGATGTTAGCGGAGAACGACAGGGTGTTGTCCAGGGTCACGCCAAGGCTCTTCGCACTCTGGGAGGAGGACACAACGGAGTTGTTAACCGTGATGGCGAGATCATGGAACGGGCAGTCCTTCCCCGGGAGGAAGAGCAGCTCCGTCTTGCCAGGGTTCAGCTTGAGGTGGTGATCCGTCATCCATACTGATATGTCTGCCAGACATGCAGAGATGCGATTCGCCACCTGGTTATCAGAAGGGGGAAAGGAGAAGATTAGTTGTGTATCGTCAGCGTAGCAATGATAGGAGAGGCCATGTGAGGATATGACAGAGCCAAGTGACTTGGTGTATAGGGAGAAAAGGAGAGGGCCTAGAACTGAGCCCTGGGGGACACCAGTGGTGAGAGCACGTGGTGCGGAGACAGCTTCTCGCCACGCCACTTGGTAGGAGCGACCGGTCAGGTAGGACGCAATCCAGGAGTGAGCCGCGCCGGAGATGCCCAGCTCGGAGAGGGTGGAGAGGAGGATCTGATGGTTCACAGTATCAAAGGCAGCAGACAGGTCTAGAAGGACAAGAGCAGAGGAGAGAGAGTTAGCTTTAGCAGTGCGGAGAGCCTCTGTGACACAGAGAAGAGCAGTCTCAGTTGAATGACCAGTCCTGAAACCTGACTGGTTTGGATCAAGAAGGTCATTCTGAGAGAGATAGCAAGAGAGTTGGCTAAAGACGGCACGCTCAATAGTTTTGGAAAGAAAAGAAAGAAGGGATACTGGTCTGTAGTTGTTGACATCAGTGGGATCGAGTGTTGGTTTTTTGAGAAGGGGAGCAACTCTCGCTCTCTTGAAGACGGAAGGGACATAGCCAGCGGTCAAGGATGAGTTGATCAGCGAGGTGAGGTAGGGGAGAAGGTCACCGGAGATGGTCTGGAGAAGAGAGGAGGGGATGGGGTCAAGCGGGCAGGTTGTTGGGCGGCCTGCAGTCACTAGTCGCAAGATTTTATCTGGAGAGAGAGGGGAGAAAGAAGTCAAAGCATAGGGTAGGGCAGTGTGAGCAGGACCAGCAGTGTCATTAGACATAACAAACGAGGATCGGATGTCGTCAACCTTCTTTTCAAAGTGGTTGACGAAGTCATCCACAGAGAGGGAGGAGGGGGGGGGGGGGGGGGGGGGATTCAGCAGTGAGGAGAATGTGGCAAAGAGCTTCCTAGGGTTAGAGGCAGATGCTTGGAATTTAGAGTGGTAGAAAGTGGCCTTAGCAGCAGAAACAGATGAATAAAATGTAGAGAGGAGGGAGTGAAAAGATGCCAGGTCGGCAGGGAGTTTAGTTTTCTTCCATTTCCGCTCAGCTGCCCGGAGCTCTGTTCTGTGAGCTCGCAATGAGTCATCAAGCCACGGAGCTGGAGGGGAGGACCGAGCCGGCCGGGAGGATAGGGGACACAGGGAGTCAAAGGATGCAGAAAGGGAGGAGAGGAGGGTTGAGGAGGCAGAATCAGGAGATTGGAGGGAGAAGGATTGAGCAGAGGGAAGAGATGATAGGATGGAAGAGGAGAGAGTAGTGGGAGAGAGAGAGCGAAGGTTGCGGCGGCGCGTTACCATCTGTGTAGGGGCAGAGTGAGTAGTGTTGGAGGAGAGCGAGAGAGAAAAGGATACAAAGTAGTGGTCAGAGACATGGAGGGGAGTTGCAGTGAGATTAGTAGAAGAGCAACATCTAGTAAAGATGAAGTCAAGCGTATTGCCTGCCTTGTGAGTAGGGGGGGGACGGTGAGAGGGTGAGGTCAAAAGAGGAGAGGAGTGGAAAGAAGGAGGCAGAGAGAAATGAGTCAAATGTAGACGTAGGTAGGTTGAAATCCCCCAAAACTGTGAAGGGTGAGCCATCCTCAGGAAAGGAACTTATCAAGGCGTCAAGCTCATTGATGAACTCTCCAAGGGAACCTGGAGGGCGATAGATGACAAGGATATTAAGCTTAAATGGGCTAGTGACTGTGACAGCGTGGAATTCAAATGAGGAGATAGACAGATGGGTTAGGGGAAAAATTGAGAATGACCACTTGGGAGAGATGAGGATTCCTGTGCCACCACCCCTCTGACCAGATGCTCTCGGGGTATGCGAGAACACATGGTCAGACGAGGAGAGAGCAGTAGGAGTAGCAGTGTTTTCAGTGGTAATCCATGTTTCCGTCAGCGCCAGGAAGTCGAGGGACTGGAGGGTAGCATAGGCTGGGATGAAGTCAGCCTTGTTGGCAGCAGAACGGCAGTTCCAGAGGCTGCCTGAGACCTGGAACTCCAGATGTGTGGTGCGTGCAGGGACCACCAGGTTAGAGAGGCAGCAGCCACGCGGTGTGAGGCGTTTGTGTAGCCTGTGCGGAGAGGAGAGAACAGGGATAGGCAGAGGCATAGTTGACAGGCTGTAGCAGATGGCTACAATAATGCAGAGGAGATCGGAATGAAATGAACTAAACATCTGGGAAAGGAGAGAGCAGGGCCTCCCTCACCAAAAAAATATAACTCTCCCAACTTCCACCTCAGAAACTATAATTGTTTCACTGAACCACCCGAATAAAACTCTCCCAACTTCCACTTTAGAAATTAGAATTGTTGTAAACTACAGCGGTTCAATGTTTCAAGGAATAGACTCAACTTACTTTATTCAGCTAGCTAACTATGACGCCATAGCTAACTAGCATGTTAGCATCCAATAACACACAGTTTAGCACCAATACTTGGTTACAACAAACTACCAATAGTGCCTTCAATCAACTATGCCTCCATAATACAGAGAGAACTGTAGCCTATTTGTAAACACACCAACTATGACAAGACACAGACCATATTTATGCCTAGCTCCAGTATATTTATTTGCTTATTTACATTTACATTTTAGTCATTTAGCAGACACTCTTATCCAGAACGACTTACAGTTAGTGAGTGCATACATTTTCATACTGCCCCCCCCCCCCCCCCGTGGGAAACGAACCCACAACCCTGGCGTTGCAAGCGCCATGCTCTACCAACTGAGCTACATGGGGCTTATCATGGAGTAATGGAAAGATTTAGTACATTTTTGTAAGATTTTAGAAGGTGACAGATGTTCCTGGTACTGAGCTTGATGTTGATGCCGCTCCAGATGTTGATGGGATCGGACTCTAAATAGAACATAACGTTATTCATATTAGCCTCTGCGGTAGTTGGCTAGCTAGCTAATGTAACCTAACGAAGCTAACGTTAACTTAAAAAGTTACAAGTCACATCGCCAGATAGCAGCTGGCTAATTACATTGATATTACTTGGAATGTCTGGCCAGCGTATTATGAAAGCTAGCTAGCTAGATGTTGGTTTAGATAAACAAATGTAGTTCGCTAGCTAGTTAGCTAGGTAACATTAGCTGTGTTACCTCAGCTTGACTTACTTTATGCTGCGCTAATATTGGCTGATGCCTTCCTCTTTGAAGTAAAGGGGAAAATCGATGAATAGCATCACTTTTCAAAGTTTGACAACATGGCAACCCCATCAATTCAATACACCTCCACGGGGCTGTCCTCCTTGTGGTTTGCTTACAACCAGGAAATGTAGCTGGCCAGTTTCTGCCGGTGAGATGCAGGAACGCTCGTATATCCCTTTAAGGTGCCCACATACTAGGTTCGGTTTGCTCCTAGCAGAACTCGACTAGGTGATTCTAACATCTGTGCCTCGCATACTCCATTAAAAGTAATATTACTGTCTGTCCCTCTTGAGACACCATAGCAACAAAATAGCCAGTAAACACTTCCTCAAAATAATCAGAATTAATCAAGAAATCTGTGATTTTTACGTTTTTGCCGAGGAGGTCTTAGTTGCGAAATTTTACATCTAACCAAGATGTTTGGTGCAGTATTTCTGATGAGATGTGATGTCCCTCAGGTTTGACCCATGAGAGTGAGTCGATAAACAATGTGAAAGAAAAGGTTGTCTCAATGGAACTCGGTCTCACCTTTGAGTTAGTTTTCTCTGTTGTTGCTCATTATGAGATGATGGCATATTTCTCTGTCTGCGTTGATTGTTATAGAATGATTATATGCTTTCAGGGTCCTACACTTTCAAATGTCCATTCAATGCTGCCCAATTCAATCCCATGCTATTATTGTGCCTAAAGCTCAGTATAGGGCACCGGATGCTTTTTAGAAAACAGCTGTGCTAAATACTCATTGTTTTGGTTCCTAAAATGAATACATAAGTAAAATAAAAGCATGCATTAGATGAAGGGTTCACTGTCTCGTTCATTTCATTTGTCATGCTGTGATCCATCTAGCTACCACTTTATTAGCTTTTTCTACAAAGACACAAAGGCCTAAAACACTGATCTCTCTTGCTCTCTCTGTACCCCTCTATCCCTCCCACCTCTCAGCCTCTAAAAAACAGCGGGTGCGCTTCAGCAACATCATGGAGGTGCGCCAGCTCCCATCCACACAGGCCCTGGAAGCCAAGCTGTCCCGCATGTCGTTCCCCGCCGCCAAGGACCAGGAGTCCATGCTCCGCACAGTGAGCAAGCTCACAGTCACCGATGTGGCCAAGATCAGCTTCTTCTTCTGCTTTGTGGTGAGTTACATCCTGTGAGGGAACTTGTTTTGTTAGTGTCTGTAGACTTATTTACTTGGTAGATTCTCAAACTTCTGTATACTAGCTGGGCACCTCCGTATTAAGTTGGAGGAAGAAAAGTCAATATCTTAAATACATCTTTGGAGTATCTACATTTGGGATTTGGTTCAAATGCATAAGGCAATATAGGCTTTTTTATGTCTGTCAACTTAATCTAAGTAGTTGAATTTGTCACATTACTGTTAACTGTCAGTAGTAGGTGAGTTAACTACAAAGTTTGTTATTATCATTGATGAGTTATTGCTGGTAGTACTACTAATTTTGCTGCAGTGTGTTTGCTGTAGAATACCCCTAGGTTCGTTCCATATCATTTCAGCAAGTCATGACACCCACCATCTCAGATTGTTCTGAAATCAGTTATGTAGTTAGAAACAGATAGGATTAGCATTCCTGCAACATTATTTTGTTGAAATATAATTGGATCTCTAAATTACACTGAACAAAAATATAAACGCAACATAAAGTGTTGGTCCTCAGATAATTTTTTACTTTTTTTCTGCTCATTGTGGTACACACAGTGACATAAAACAGGAGAATGATTCCTTTTCTCTATTCAAACTGCTTGAATTAGTGATTTTTATATTGCATGCACCTTTAACTCACCACAGGTGAGTTCAATTCCAAAGTAAAGGAGAATCACCTGCATCAAACTACTTCTAGAAGGTGCCAATAATATTGTCCGGGCCATTTTAGGATTTCTTTGTGGAATAAGCTAAGATTTTGTAAATTATTCAATTTTGGGGGGTTTTGTTCAACTGCAAACCAAAGACATACATATGTGGATACCAAAATATATGTTAATTTCAACAGTTTTCTGGAAGAAATTGTGCATTATTTGAAAAAAGTCATGGTTTTGGGGTTTGCCCTTCATGAATAGTGTACATTTGTGTAAAATAATACATTATGCATGCAGAATCCTGAACTCTTTTATCTTACACACTTTGCGCTTGTAAACAAATCTTTGTATCGTAACTCATTTCGCACATGAGCATTGACACAGAACTGAGGGAAGATTACAGACACGAGTAATAGGGCAATCTACCATATTTGGTACACATCAGAAGTGTGTCATGCTGACACGTCTCCCCCTCCTACTTCTCTCCCTCACAGTTGTTCCTAGCCAACCTCTCCTACCAAGAGGCCCTGTCAGAGACTCAGGTTGCTATAGTGAACGTTCTGTCCTCCACTTCAGGTTAGTCCGTACACTAAATGTGGCGTCACAGCTAATTCTACATGTAGGATCATGGATGTTCCTTTGTAATAACATTGTTGCAAAGAAATGTTACGATGTTAGAAAACTACAGCATGTGTATTTCAACATGTCACCTTGAACAGGTTGAACACTGTTGGTATTCTCGCTGGTATTTGTCCTCCTCACCAGGTCTCTTCACCCTCATCCTGGCGGCCATATTTCCCAGTAACAGCAGTGACCGCTTTACTCTGTCCAAGCTTTTAGCTGTGGCTCTGAGGTAAGCCATGACATCAGCTGAATTATTGTAGTTACTCTGGGTTCTTACTATTATCTGTGGTTACACTGTTTGTCTGGTCTCTTTCCCCATAGCGTGGGAGGAGTGCCTCTGGTCAGTTTTTCCAGCATGGACAGCCCCGATGGGAAGGGCACTACAGGTAACCATGGAGATAAAAGTACTCCAGATAAACATCCTTCCTCAAAACCGTTTAGTTTTTGTTTGGCTTTTTTCCTACCTCCTGTTACTTTCCTATCCCACTTCATATTGTATTTATTTCTATTGTACTGTACTTGATTTACTATTGTCTTTGTGTCCTAGAAATGTGCTATATAAATACAATGTATTATTTAAGCATTAAATCAACTCTTGAAGTGCAAGCCATGCCACGATGTCACGTTTGCTTGCATTGTAGAAAAAAAAACCGTTTGGAGTGTAACCATGAGTTGTAACTCGTGATACAGGGATGTATTAGCGTAAGACAACAAAACAATGAAGTCGTGTTGGTTCAGTCTCCCTGTGGTCGTTGGCCGGGGCTGCGCTGTACGCAGTCTACATCGTCATGATCAAGAGGACGGTGGGTGGGGAGGACAAGCACGACATCGCTATGTTCTTTGGTAAGTAGATCATAGTTAGGTCCTTATTTTATTTTATTTTTTTTTGTCATTTAGCAGACGCTCTTATCCAGAGCGACTTACAGGAGCAATTAGGGTTAAGTGCCTTGCTCAAGGGCACACCGACAGATTTTTCACCTAGAGTCAGGTGTGGCAGCTTGGTCTGTTGCTGATTTTCAGATGCTTTTTTTTCTTCACTGATATAACTCCGTATAATGATCCTGAATTGATTGTGTATACAGTCATTCTATTAAATGAAAGGTTTGTAATATATAACATTTTCACCTGCAAATAGCGCTAAATGTCAATAACAAATAAGTAGTAATAAAGTAGTCATTTTCTCTTATTTGTGTCTCTTAGGGTTCGTGGGGTTGTTCAACCTGCTCCTCCTGTGGCCAGGCTTCGTTGTGCTTCACTACACAGGCTTTGAGGCCTTTGAGCTGCCCAGCAAGCTAGTGTGGACCTACGTCCTCATCAACGGCCTCATCGGCACTGTGCTCTCCGAGTTCCTCTGGCTCTGGTGCGTCTCGGTTGATGAATGGATTGATTGGTTTGATTGATTGATTGAACGACCACATAATATGTTTACTACTCCTTGTACACTCTTGTACACACACTGTGCAGAAACACGTATCTTGAATCCGAACTTGATATCTGTGCGCTTAACTTGGACTTGCACGTAAATCATGCATTGATGTCAATGGGAGATTTGCACCAAAATGCTAGTTACCCGCACATATCTCGGGTTAAGATTCGGCCCTATGTCTATAGCAGTGGTCACCAACCTTTTCTGTGTCAAGATCACTTTCGCAGTTAAAAAGCAAGCCGAGATATACTGCTCATAGTAAAAAAATGTAATGTTACCCAAATAAAAACAGTTCTGTAGTAATGAGGTTTGTGCAGTAGGCTTTTTTATTTTTAAAACAAGGTCAAATCATGACGTCAGTGATCTTCAGGTCGGAAAGTCTAAGCTCTAGAAAGATTTGGAATTCCGAGTTGGATGACGGTTCACAATGAAGTTGGAGATTTCAAAGTTCCCAGTTGTTTTGAACACAGCATTAATCTCAGCGGAGGGGGGGTAGAGCGCAGCAGAGTGTCCCTGCTCTCTCCTTCCTTTCCTCCGGTGAGACTGACAAGAGAGAGGGGACACAGTCTTCCACCTGATGGTGAAACTCAAGTCACACCGCATCTGCCTCATGCACAAATTAATGTTGTTCCTATGACCAGAGAAAGTGAAATATTCCTCGATATTAACAGACACGACGCGCTGCTAATAATATTTTAAAAACGCAGGCCTATCGATACGCTTGGCTACTCATTGCAGCTGCAGTGCGAGTGAAAGTATGGAGAAGCACGTTATGTAATGACGTTGATAAAAACAGTGTTGACGGTGCTGAATAAAAACTTAGACATGAACTCACTCATAAAAACAGCAGCTCTTTGCTGTATTCTTTGACAGTCTTTCTCTGGTCGTGGGTTTAAAAGTGATTAAATCGTACGTAGGCTAGTATCGAATTTTGGTCGTGGAAGCTGCAGGCACAGTGATTTGTTGGTGACCACTGGGCTATAGTGTGATATGCAGAGTTATGCCGAGTGATAACCATTTTATTTATTGCCTAAGAGGGGCATTTTTGCATTTGATTTAATTGTAGCGTTGTTGCCTGTGTTCTATATAATGTTGTGTGTACTCTCCATAGGGGCTGCTTCCTCACATCCTCCCTCATAGGCACTCTGGCCCTCAGCCTCACCATCCCACTGTCCATCACAGCAGACATATGCAGAAGGTAAGAGGGGGAACTATTATCACTGGATGGCCATGTTGCCATCACACCCTTGAGCATGGCTGCTCTACCAAAGGTGGTGTGTCAGTTTGTCAGTCAAATAAAGTGGAATTGGTTTGTGATGGATGCTTTGTCACATGGCACTTAGCGTAATTAATTTTATGACAGGGTATCGTCTAGCAAGGTTATGAGTGAGCTTTGTCTGTCTGCCTGTGGGGATCTAACTTTGAAACAGCAGAGGCTATTCCCTTAGTAGACTGCATGGGATATAGCATCATTTGAAGTTTAAAAATAGCATATCTTTTTTTGTGGCAATAGTTAGAAAACTCGCATGCTTCTGATGTCAGATATCCAGTCTGTCGAGATGTCAAGTCAACAACTCTCATTTCATAAATACAGGACATGCTAGCTAGTAACAGTGAAGTTCAAGTACAATGCACTTATCTTGGAAGAAGCCATCCTTCTGAGATGGTTGTGATTGTTATACATGTAGCTATATTGCAAATATTGGAATGTTTCTGACCCACTGTTAGGCAGCTGGCACTTACTGTATCTATAGGTGTACTATACAAGCAGCCATCCCATTATTTACTGCTATATTTCCATCACCAGGTGTGTTTCTCCTGGCTGTTTTTTGCTGGAGTGGTTCCCATCTTCCTCTCCTTCTTCATCGCCACTCTGTTATGCCACCTCAACAACTGGGACCCCGTCATGGTGGGGCTACGAAGAGTGTTTGCTTTTATTTGCTGCTCGAAACAACGGATTCAAAGGTACTGGGAAAAACCCTTTCTACTCTTCCTATTGTAGCCTACTGTTTACTTGGCCTATGCTTTGTAAGGTTTTACTTTCACAATAATTGTATACACACACACTCTTAAAATGTGCACAATCTTTGTGATTAAAGATTCTTCCCTGACATTGAATCCAGGACAATGGATAGAGTTGGTTGCTTTTAGGCTTGCTGGGATTGTAGTTAAATGAATTTGCGTTTATGACGCTAATTTGCTATATTGTGATGGCACTCAATTCTTATCTGAATGCTAGTTGTTCCCATTCAGGTAGTGATTATGATCATGGTTATTATCATGACGGTGATGATAATGATAATCCTCTTCCCTCAGATTGCCAGAGGACAGCGAGCAGTGTGAAAGCCTTATTCCCTTAAGTCTCCCATGACAATGAAAGCTTCTGCTCGTGATCCACCAGCCAGTCACAAGGTAAGGAGACACACAACTTCCTTTTTTGTATGTCCTGTTACAATCTGAGGTTACTTGTGTATAGTAATAATGTAAAACAAAATGCTTTAACTATTAGTGAGTCAAAGTTACAAACTAGTGTTGTCGATCAAGTAGTATACAGAGAAGGGCACATTTACAGTATTGAGGAATAGCTGCATAACAGACACAAATATTTCCTCTATTTGTCCAATGCTATTTGCCACGTATCATCAGGAAAGCACTGTATTAACTCACTTCTTGTAATCATGTGATTTGTTTGTCTTTGAACATCTGTCATGCATTTATCTACTTCAATGTTTAGACATAGTATTGAGTGAGAGAGGAAGGACATGACTTAGAGGATGATCATCAAGTAAATATTTTAGGGAAGACCATCGCCCACCCACTCCAAGGGATCTGGATTTCACCATGTGAAAAAATATAATTTGTTTTCCCTTTTTGGGAGTTTCAATACATTTTAAATGAAGACATGGTGTCTCATAGATGTGCTGTTGTTGAATGCTGAATTAGAGCTACCCATTGAGTACTTATTCTGAGCTTCCAGACTATCCAGGGTTTGTCTGATAATTACCCTCCCCCTTTTACCAAGGTAGACACGCAGCTAGTATTCTGCTGGATTCATGCTGATGATGATGTAGTTTTTTTTTTTTTCTAAACGCAACCAGCTGGAGGCTGTCAGGGGTTTTCATAGCAACAATGATGACTTAAGCTGTGTTCGAATACTCATACTAACCGCACTAACCGTACTATTTGTGACGCCAATTGAGGCTGTAGTATGCTTATTGGTCATAGTATGGATATAGTTAGTATGCCAGAAGTTCCCGGATGTCATACTACATTCACCAAAATAGGTGAATAGGATACCTTTCGTTTACAGTATACTAAAATGAACTAATAATATATAGTATGTAGTATATACTCATTAGGTATGTAGTATGCATTATGTTAGTATGGGTATTCGAACACAGCTTTAGTCACAATGCGTTTGATACCCTCCCTGGGGCATCAAACGACCTGATAAAAAATATGACAATGTGAACAACAGGCACGTGAAATGGATGTCTTTCATATCTCCCTTTTTATATCAGAGTAAGTCCTTTACAGACAATGTAACGCTACAAAGAAAACAGACATCTACTGTGTGTGTGCGTGCGTGAGTCTGCAAATATCTGTCTCCAATAGAAAAACAAGGTGTTCTCTCTCACATTTGACTGTCTCTCACCAGATCATGAATACAGCGCAGAGTGGCATGTTGAAGTGACAATCTCGAAGCAACCAAGCAGAGACCTTGAACTACCCCCAGTGCCTCTTATTCAACCTATGTATTCTCTGCAGTGTGGAGATGACGTTCCATCTCTACAAGATTAACTCCTTTTACTTTGTACAGCGTTGATGCGACTTGTCGTTGACTGAGATTCTGTTTTGCTATGTTGGATGTCGTTGTTTAAAAAGAAAAACTTTGATGGTACTGAAGGTGCCGGCCTTTTATCAATGGTTCATAGTGTCATGTTACAAGTTTAAATAATGGGACAGAGAGGTTTCATAAGAAGAAGAGCAAGGTTGTTTTTCCCGTGGCAGCGATTTTAACCAATGAAAGGGTCTTTCTTTGTTGCAAGGAGAAAAGTGTTTTGATTGGCTCATGTAGATGTTACCTCTTGTTGGTTTTCTGAAGCCTCACTGCTTCTTACATTTTACATTTTAGTCATTTAGCAGACACTCTTATCCAGAGCGACTTACAGTTAGTTAGTGCATACATTTTTCATACTGACACCCCGTGGGAATCGAACCCACAACCCTGGCATTGCAAGTGCCATGCTCTACCAACTGAGCTACAGGTGGGCTGTTCACAGGAGTAGGTTTTGGAGCAGGCAAAATTAATTATCGTTAATGTAGAAATAGTATGGGTGGAACAAGTTGGTCATGGATTTGATCATCAGGCTATTAGGTGACTTACAAATCTGATGTAGAGATCTGGACGTATTCACAAATGGTCTCAGAGTTAGAGTATTGGTAAAGGATCCGTTTTGCCTTTTCGATCATAATGAATAAGATTATATAGACGGGGGGAACTGTTCCTTGATCAGCACTGCTACTCTGAGACACTTTGTGAGTACAGACCCTGACCTGCTGATTTGTGCGGTTCCCGTGAACAAGCAGTCTCAGAAGTTTGAGATTAGGAGACTGTGAACTACCACATTTGATTTCTCCCCAATATTCTACATCCCTCCATCTCTGGCCCCTGGCAGCCAGGTAATGCTGGATAATGAAGGAAAACTGTGACGAATGTGTTAGAATGGGAACTAACACTACCCCTCCACTAAGCTAAGCTGCGATACAGAAGTTATAATGCTGTTGCCTTTCCAACCGAAAACAGTAACCATCTCAAAACAGGTGTAAATACTGTACTACACCATGAAATACGAATAAAGTATTCTTACTTTAGTTTGTATTTTGAAAAATGACTACTACAAAGACCCTCTGTACGTATATAGCGTTCATGTTCTCCGAAAAATGGTTTACTCCAATGTTTGTTGTTTTAAAATCTTGACTGTTATGACATAAAAAATAATTTAAGACAGACCAAGTACATGGATTTTGCAGTATGTTTAACAAAAGCACAATTTTTCATCCAATTAGATCCCCATAGTCTTAATAGAGAAAATGTTATTGCATCTGAGATTATTTATACCACTTCGGTGGGTATTGCAGAGCCACGAATGGGGACTTGATCTGATTGAGGATCTTTCAACTGTTGAAAATGGACAATTTTATGCCATAATAGCGTTTGTATGTCCAACAATTGTATTTTAGACACATTTTGTTTGATCAGCACATGAAATGCAAATCAATCACCCACTCACTCTTATTCTATTGGTGATTTTATTTAACTTAAATACATTTTTTATCAGTAAAAGTTAACTGTTCTGTAAACCTTGATGTACACCATGACAAAGGGCATGTTATCAATGTTATTCCACCAACTGTCAACCTGTGTACAGAACTTTATGGAGTGTTTGCCCAGCACCCATTGTGGATAGAAGACATTTTATGACTTGAGCTAACTACAGGAAGTTATAACTTCCCCTGTAAACTGAAAAAAGTTAAGCCCCTCAAGTGCAAGTTTTACCTTTGTCCAACTCAGTTGTTACTTTCACATTGTCAAGAAATTTTTAAATAATAAAAATTCCAGTAGCTTTTATTACCATCACTATGATTAATGCACAAAGGAAGCCAGATGTGAGAGGTATTTGACTGTTTAATTCTTGTGGTTCCTATAGCCTATTTTTACTTGCGAAAAACCCAGGCACTCTGGAACTTATCATCCTATCTAAACATTTGTTTATCAGATTTTCCCCCAGATCATCCATGTTGAAGTCTCTTATTGATGGGCGAGGTGCTAGATACATAAGTGCATTGTATATATTTTAAAACGGGTGTTTTCAAAAATGTATTTTTTCAACGGTTCTTACGAAATGTGCGTATATCTTATGAAGAAGGTAGTTTTTTCTTTCTCAGGTACTTTGTTGGAAGGATGACTTTATTTTCCTCTGTCCAATCAGATTTTGGTTTGATAATTTCCCGTCCTTTATGATTGTATCATTAATTAATCTCTTTTAAAAAGATGTATACAGATTTATGTAAGCGTGATCATTATAGTTTACTGTATCATCACAGGCTCTTTTAAGAGTCTTTGGTGAAGTTGCGTAAGTCCTTTTTCCAATGTTATGCTGCACTATTAGAACGGAAGATTTTCATTCTTGTCTCGAAAATATTATGTTTTGTAGGTATGACTCCAGCGCTATTATTCCATATCGGATTGTAAGAAAGATGGCATAATAGTGAATCTTGTCCTTTGTATCCCCACTTTCTCCCTCAGTTAAGATACCTTTTTTTGCCATCTAATTTACAATTTTAAAAAAATCTTAACCTATTTCAATAACATAACAAAAAAGTTTAAGCTGGTCAAAAGCTGAAAAATCCATGAAATTCAAATGAGCACCACAGCCCTAACTATGCACTACCAAGATTTTCCAGCACACAGCTTCAACACCTGCTAAATGTCTGTAGCAATGTTGGTCTACTGTGCTTCAAACAACATGTACAGTGAGGGAAAAAAGTATTTGATCCCCTGCTGATTTTGTACGTTTGCCCACTGACAAAGAAATGATCAGTCTATAATTTTAATGGTAGGTTTATTTGAACAGTGAGAGACAGAAAAACAACTAAAAAATCCAGAAAAACACATGTAAAAAATGTTATGAATTGATTTGCATTTTAATGAGGGAAATAAGTATTTGACCCCTCTGCAAAACATGACTCAGTACTTGGTGGCAAAACCCTTGTTGGCAATCACAGAGGTCAGACGTTTCTTGTACTTGGCCACCAGGTTTGCACACATCTCAGGAGGGATTTTGTCCCACTCCTCTTTGCAGATCTTCTCCAAGTCATTAAGGTTTCGAGGCTGACGTTTGGCAACTCGAATCTTCAGCTCCCTCCACAGATTTTCTATGGGATTAAGGTCTGGAGACTGGCTAGGCCACTCCAGGACCTTAATGTGCTTCTTCTTGAGCCACCCCTTTGTTGCCTTGGCCGTATGTTTTGGGTCATTGTCATGCTGGAATACCCATCCACGACCCATTTTCAATGCCCTGGCTGAGGGAACAAGGTTCTCACCCACGGTACATGGCCCCGTCCATCGTCCCTTTGATGCGGTGAAGTTGTCCTGTCCCCTTAGCAGAAAAACACCCGCAAAGCATAATGTTTTCACCTCCATGTTTGACGGTGGGGATGGTGTTCTTGGGGTCATAGGCAGCATTCCTCCTCCTCCAAACACGGCGAGTTGAGTTGATGCCAAAGAGCTCGATTTTGGTCTCATCTGAACACAACACTTTCACCCAGTTCTCCTCTGAATCATTCAGATGGTCATTGGCAAACTTCAGACGGGCCTGTATATGTGATTTCTTGAGCAGGGGGACCTTGCGGGCACTGCAGGATTTCAGTCCTTCACGGCGTAGTGTGTTACCAATTGTTTTCTTGGTGACTATGGTCCCAGCTGCCTTGAGATCATTGACAAGATCCTCCTGTGTAGTTCTGTGCTGATTCCTCACCGTTCTCATGATCATTGCAACTCCACGAGGTGAGATCTTGCATGGAGCCCCAGGCCGAGGGAGATTGACAGTTCTTTTGTGTTTCTTCCATTTGCGAATAATCGCACCAACTGTTGTCACCTTCTCACCAAGCTGTTTGGCGATGGTCTTGTAGCCCATTCCAGCCTTGTGTAGGTCTATAATCTTGTCCCTGACATCCTTGGAGAGCTCTTTGGTCTTGGCCATGGTGGAGAGTTTGGAATCTGATTGATTGATTGCTTCTGTGGACAGGTGTCTTTTATACAGGTAACAAGCTGAGATTAGGAACACTCCCTTTAAGAGTGTGCTCCTAGTCTCAGCTCATTACCTGTATAAAAGACACCTAGGAGCCAGAAATCTTTCTGATTGAGAGGGGGTCAAATACTTATTTCCCTCATTAAAATGCAAATCAATTTATAACATTTTTGACATGCGTTTTTCTGGATTTTTTTGTTGTTATTCTGTCTCTCACTGTTCAAATAAACCTACCATTAAAATTATAGACTGATCATTTCTTTGTCAGTGGGCAAACATACAAAATCAGCAGGGGATCAAATACTTTTTTCCCTCACTGTACTCACCACAGGGCAGAGTGGTTTACTATGAAGCAAGCTAGATGTACTTATAAAGCTAGCCAGCTTCAGTTAGCTTAACATTCCATCTCAGGCCTCATACATACTATGACGGTGGATATTGCTCGTCTGCCTACCGCTAACCCTAGCAGGCTTGTACCTTCACGTGCATGTCGCTCATGGCTAGTCGAACGCTGAACTCTTCATTGAGACAATGCTGAAACCTCAATCCATAGGCGGGTCAGTACCACATTTTCATTTGTGCTGAAATCAAAATAAAATAAAAGTTATTTTGAAAATTCAGCAGGCTTTGGTGTGAAATATGCTTTTAGAGGTGCTGTCTTTATTTGATTACTTATCGTTAATGCCGTCTTTGGTGTGCTTATCAATACACAAGCACCTTTTTCCCCCACTGCTATCTATATGCAATAATTGTATTAAGTTATACAAAAAAAGTTTTACTGTGCGTAAAGTTTCGAATGTATTCTGTCATTACTAAATTTGTAATGTGATAGGTATTTTAACATTAAATATTTTATTAAATGTTTGTTAAAAAATAGTAATCAGTCGTCTTCTTCCAATGAAGGGCATGATGACGTAATCTTTGCGAGAGGGAGGGAGTCTGATTTCATTGTTCTTCAATTCGCGGCTGAGACACTTCATTCAGCATTGTTCTAAAGGATTCGTTGCCATAGAAATGTACCTGGGTTAAAGGTGAGCCACTTTCGTGGTACCGGTGATCCTGAGTTGAACTCAGAGTTGACCAAAGTTACCTCTTCAAAAATGATTTGTAGAGTAGGGCTCAGGTTACCTAGGATTTGTTAGATAAGGTTTGTGTTGTGTGTGTTGGTTCAGACTTTTCAATTTCGTTCTGTGTTATTGGTCACAGAACTGCCTACAAAAGATCCAAAGCTAAACTCAGGACGACTTCTGGTTTACAGTTCAGAAGTTGTTTTGTATTCAGTGAATCCTCTTCCGCTCCGCTCCCTGAAAACATTTGAGACCTTTTAACTTGTAAGACCAACTTACGAATCAAAAAGTGGTCGACAGAGGAAAAACAATAGATCTACTGTTATACTGTATGATTTTTGGTATTTATTACAACACTAATTAGAAACCACATTTTTGTTTATAGAATGTATATTTATACTGGCTACAAAATATTAACACAGGAGCTAGCAGTGCAATTATGTCAGCAGATTGTCTTGGATATATGGCTTCCAAATCAATCTCTGAGTTGGATCCAGTCTGTCTAGTCATTGCAGATAATTGCAGTTACATGGACAAATTCCATATCCAAATTCAGCTGGCATTAATTGAAATGGAATTGGACCCTAACAGTGAAAGGCTCATAAACTGATAAAGCCCTCACCTGTCCTCATAGGCTGACATCGGGAAATGTCATACCTGTCTCTCTGTGTTCTGCCCAGTTTACTATTGTACATTACTTGCAGCAATACATTTATTCTGTGATTCATCATGCACTCAAGTTCAGCTGTTTTGTCAAACGCACGTCAGCATCTCGTCTTATAAAACATTCAAACAGCAGTTTCACGGAGGCATTTACAATCAGGGCAATTACAGAACATAATGATAGATCATTAGGAAAATATAAAAGGGCTGGAAATGAAGAGGTAGGGTAATTATTGTAAACAAACCAAATTGATTTAGCTAGCTTCGCTGTTGAGAGTGCACCTGCCTGACGACGCTTTGTCATGCAGTTTGGCCTGGGTTATCATGCTTTATCTGCCTGAGAGCTTTTGAGAGCACAGAGATAGGCACTCAACCAATCAAGTCTGTGCTCTAATCAGATTGATAAAACCTGCTTTATCATTTTACCCAACTCAAATTCTTGTGGAATATGCTTATGTGAAATCAGGGCAGATTGCAAGCCAATTGCAGATTGCAAGTTTTCGTAGAATGGATACAGTCACTTTTCCTGTCTTAAATCAAAGGGTCCGTTTTTGTTTGATTTACTTCTTGTCTCGAGCCAGCTCATTGTTAATGTCAAATGACATGGACTTGATGCGGCCTCAATAGAAAATGTGTGTACTTTAATTCAGTCATGTCTGTATAATATCAATACAACTTCCTCCATTTGAACTTTTGAACTTCTACGTACCGGTATGCCTTTTGTTACTTCACATCCATCCTACACAGGGAATTTATTTCACCACGTCTGTTTTCTTAGAGGGCATGTGGAAGAGTGTCAAAGTCATTTGTATATTCTGCAATAGTTTTAATTTGTGTAAATAAGCCTAAGAATGGCGTTTGAATAAATGTACCTTTCCAAGGTGCCATGTAGCAAAGTTACCATTTTTAGTTCTGTCCCGTATTATATTCATCCAAATGGGAGGTGATAATGTTCGGGAAGGGCCACACCTCTGTATGACTAAAGAGATGCGTAGTAACCCTTGGTCCCGCCTACACACAATCACCCTGTCCCTGAAGTAGAGCCAGGGTTCATACTGCACTTGAGTAGTGATAACAGAACAGGGCTGTGCTCTCTCTCCCCTGCTCTGAAGTTTAATGTTTAACTTGTAGGAGGGAGGAAATAGGAGAAAATCAGTGCCTGCTGACAGGGTGCAGCTTGAAGCATGGCCCAAGCAAAGGAGTAAATCCAATACTTTCTGGATAAAGACTTCGGATGGCCGATGGTTCAAAACTCAGACTTCAGGCCAGTAATGGGTAGTCCTGCCACTTTGAGGCGTATGTTTCAAAGAAGCTAAAACGAGGAAGAAACTTGCTGGTATGTCTAATGGGATCCTAATTATTCTTCTGTGATATGGTTTATCTGGGCAACCAAGAGGTCTGTGGTGAGAAAGTTGTTGTGTCGCAACAACCAAGTTAATCTAGTTTTAGAGTCAATCACAGTTTTCGACGAGGGAGTCAGAAATATAATATTTGATCTCTGAAAAATAAATCTCTCCCTGGCTGTTTGGATTTCCTCTGGGCTCTATTACAGACTCTGCCCTGCTGAAGTGATACGCTAGGAAAAAATCAATATCTGGAGATCGAAACTCAGTAACCATGAATGTGGGGGAGGCCGAGATAGCCGAGGAGAAAGACTGGAAGGAGCTGGAGCCCAACTATGCCATCAAAGTCTTCCTCACTGTCCTGTACAGCCTCATCCTGCTCACAGGCATCGTGGGTAATGGTGTCACCATTCGGGTGACGCAGGTGCTGCGGCAGAATGGCTACCTGCAGAAGTACGTGACGGACCACATGGTGAGCCTGGCATGTTCTGACCTTCTGGTCCTCCTCATAGGAATGCCCGTAGAGCTCTACAGCGCCACGTGGTTCCCCTTCACCTCAGCCTCGGGTGACGCTTCCTGCAAGATCTACAACTTCCTGTTCGAGGCCTGCAGTTATGCCACCATCTTGAATGTGGCAACGCTCAGCTTCGAACGCTACATGGCCATTTGCCACCCGTTCCGCTTCAAGGCCCTGGCCAGAGAGCGAACAACGGGGAGTCTCATCGCTCTCGCCTGGGTCACGTCCGTGTTCATAGCCCTCCCGCTGCTGTTCACCACGGGAATGGAGGGCTATGTCCCAGAGCGAGCCATCAGGCCGGTCCAGAACCTGACGTTCTGCACCAATCTGAGCGACCAGTGGGGGATGTACAGGGCCAGTATCTTTGTGGCGTTCATTGTGTACATGGTGGTGCTGGTCAGCGTGGGGGTCATGTGTCGGGCCATGATCCTGGTCCTTCAGAAAACCATGGGGCCCACAGGAGGAGGGGTCAACGGAGTAGAGGACAAGCCAAAACACGAGAGTGCCAGGGTCAAAGCCGCCAAGAAGCAAACCATCCTTTTTCTAGGTAAGTTGACACTTTTATGTTCTACCTAAAATACCTAAGATGTTATCGATTGCAATTTTGAAAGGATGTCGATACATTTTGTTTAGCCAACTAGTGTCCACAATGTGTGTGTTACACAGGGCGTGTACACCATTGCATTCCAACTGGTAGACAGTGGAGCTGTTGAGACAGGCCATTCGGACAACGTGTGGCGAGGCGGCATTTGCCACAGCACTTTTGATTTAGGTTAATAAAATATATTGTCGCAAAGTGTTAAAAAGAGAGTCAAAGTACTGTTTTTTAGACCGATTTGCCAAATGATTTGTCAACTATTGCGCAATTTCTCTATCCTTCACATCATAGTGCTTCACATCGGAGTGCTGCTGCAGGCTCTTTGCTGTGTTTTGACCAATCAGATTCATGGAAATCGCAGGTCACGCATGCTAGGCACAATGCACAAAGCTCAAGGCGCACGCTTCACTTTCGTCCGGTATTGGGTATTTCGGCAAGATGACAACCTAAGCCCGCAACTTCAACAAGCTAGTTAACGAAGTCTCTCAATTTATATTTACAACCTGAACTTCTCTCAGTTCAAAATACTGTAAATATAAAAGACGTATTTGTCACTATACTGTTGGTTATTGTCCTAGAAGAGAATGTCAATGTCAACATTTTCCTCAGGATCTGGTCCTCTGAAAGCTAGTGTCAAAGGAGCTAGCAACAACGCTAAGGCTACAGGGCAAAAGTGTCTGACAACTACTATGCCCCCTCCTCATAAAAAATTTAATAAAAAATATGCCATTTAGCAGACGCTTTTATCCAAAGCGACTTACAGTCATGCGTGCATACATTTTTGTGTATGGGTGGTCCCGGGGATCGAACCCACTACCTTGGCGTTACAAGCGCCGTGCTCTACCAGCTGAGCTACAGAGGACCCAAAGACAGACAAAGGGATTCCTCTCACGTTTCCCCCATTTTTAAAGACCACAACCCAAAGAAAAGCAAACCCGGGGAAGGAGACGAAAATGAACCAAAAGTAGACAAGATTTCCAATGCAACAATACTTGGAGATAACATGCTCACAGACAGGTTTGCTAAGCAAGACAAAACACTTGAGGACATTAACTCTCAAATCAAACTTGGGCTGACTAGGCTACTTAGACTTTTTAAATCCAAAATTATTAGCTGGAATTAATCAATAAAAACAATAGCTGACATAGACTGTAAATTCATTTTTTATTAGGCCTACAGTTACATATGTCACGACTACACTATGCAAATTTGCATAAAGCAAGCTCAGCCCTGTTAGTTTTATTGTCCAATCATGTTGATTTCTCTGTGTCTGTGTATAGGAAACCCCCTAGTCCTTTTTTAAAATATAAATACAAGGTTGCTGCAGTTTGACAGGGTATTCATCCTCCCCAAGGCCAGGAGTTGTTCCAGGAGTTTTTTAAAACCACGTAACCTGATTAGAAAAACTTTGGTCCCATCATAGCCCATATTAAACCTTTTTACAACAGATTAATCACGCCATATCATATAAGGTCTGGAGTTTTACCTGCTTAGGTTACCAGATCAGGAAAAACTACGTGCCCCAGAATGTTTTTTTTTACCACACCACTCTGGGACCTGTGGTGCCACCTCTGTGTTGAGATGTGTCTGTCCAACTCCTCTGTTTACCTAACAGTGGAAACACCACTCCCGGCCCCAAGCTCCGATTGACTCTACGAGACCATTATGAAATGTTATGACCATTCAAATGATTGATTTCACACACAGGTCTTCTGTTTGGGGTGTCTGTGCCATTACTGTCCACAGAGAATCTCAAGGGAACTCACATGAAGAACACGCCTGTAAATGGCCATGTTATATTGATGTCACGTGGATAGAAGGAAATACCACACAACATTGAAGTGTGCATACACATTAAGTACGCAGAGTTATTTTTTAATTCGTTCTAGACTGTATTGTAGTGTTTTCTCATGTCTCGAATGCATGGAAAGTTCTCGGGTGCTGGAAGCAGGAAGCCTTGACAAAGACGGAGAAAAATGTCTAGAATTGGAGGCCTGTAATCTATATTAACATTGACTATAATGATTAATATGTGTGGCTGTGTGCAGAATATTCAACATGCACATGTGAAGTGTTTGCTCTATGTTGGTTACAGGGTTTCCAGGCAATACTTTATCCCAACAGTAAATATTACCGCATGGCAAAGAGAATCGGAAGCCAATGTGAATATAATGTATGATATATTACAATTAAAATGACTCTGTTACTGGTACTGTAGTTCTCTCTGGGGGTACTTAATTGAAAATGGGCAGATTTACTTCAATATGGCACTTGATAATGTAAACTGAGAGAATGTGTAACCTCATCTCTCCTCATTACTGCACTCTGCTCCTCTCAACCACCTACTTGAACCATTCAGTGTATAAATATTAATATTTAGAACACAGACAACATACCCTTGCATTTTTACATTTCTGTGTGTCAACATCTTTGTCTAGTTTCTATTATATATTATTCAATGAAATCAACAGTTATATAAGTGATATCTATTCGCAGAATGTCCAGGTATCTAAGAAATCAAATGTAGGCCTACAGTATCATATACGCTAACCATATTGTGTACGCTTGGAAACCAGGCATATGCTAAATCATCATTGGATTCGCCTTAGAAATGTGTATCTTCTTTAGTTACTTTGTACATGTACATCCTAAGGCTTCTCCATTCCTAAATCCCATCACAGCCCTTTCAGACAATAACAATCTCCACAATTGGCTGTGCCATCTTGGCTTCCATTTCACTACTAGACCAGTGATCACTACTTGAAGGTATAACAGCTCACTGAGCAGTGCTTGAAGAGCTGTCCTTCAACTGATTGCAAGGTATGAATTTCAGTGCCTGACTGGTTTTCTGCCACTTGGCACGTGGCACTTTGAAAGTGATTCATTTGTAATTATGTGTATTTGTTTTCAGAGCGGTGTGGTTGTATTCAACAGCTATCAGAATGTAATAATAATAATACATTTAATTTGTATAACACTTCATTACAGTGTTATCTCAAAGCTCTACATAGGCAACATTTTTAATAATGATAAAAAATCTAATACACTGAACAAAAATGTAAACGCAACATGCTAACTGTGCCACTAGAGATCCTGGTTCGAATCCAGGCTCTGTCGCAGCCGGCCGCGACCGGGAGACTCATGGGCGGCGCACAATTGGCCCAGCGTCGTCCAGGGTAGGGGAGGGAATGGCCGGCAGGGATGTAGCTCAGTTGGTAGAGCATGGCGTTTGCAACGCCAGGGTTGTGGGTTCGATTACCACGGGGGGCCAGTATAAAAAAAAAAAAAATATGTATTCACTAAACTGTAAGTCGCTCTGGATAAGAACGTCTGCTAAATATGTAAAATGTAAATGTAATGTAATGAGCTGAAATAAAAGATCACAGAAATGTTCCATATGTGGTCCTCTGTAGCTCAGCTGGTAGAGCACGGTGCTTGTAACGCTAAGGTAGTGGGTTCGATCCCCGGGACCACCCATACACAAAAACAAAAAAAGTATGCACGCGTGACTGTAAGTCGCTTTGGATAAAAGTGTCTGCTAAATGGCATATTATTATTATTACAAAGAGCTGATTTCTCCCAAATGTTGTGTAGAAATTTTGTTACACCTCTGTTAGTGAGCATTTCTCATTTGTCAAGATAATCAATCCACCTGACAGGTGTGGCATATCAAGAAGCTGATTAAACAGGATGATCATTACACAGGTGCACCTTGTGTTGGGGGACAATAAAAGGTCACTATAAAATGTGTAGTTTTGTCACACAACACAATGCCACAGATGTCTTAAGTTTTGAGGGAGTGTGCAATTGGCATGCTGACTGCAGGAATGTCCACCAGAGCTGTTGCCAGATAATTGAATGTTCATTTCTCTACAATAAGCCGCCTCCAACGTCGTTTTAGAGAATTTGGCAGTATGTCCAACCGGCCTCGCAACCGCAGACCACGTGTAACCACGCCAGCCCAGGACCGGCTTCTTCACCTGCGGGATCATCTGAGACCAGCCACCCAGAAACTGTGGTTTTGCACAACCGAAGAATTTCTGCACAAACTGTCAGAAACCGTCTCAGGCAAGCTCATCTGCGTGCTCGTCGTCCTAACCAGGGTCTTGACCTGACTGCAGTTCGGCGTCGTAATCGACTTCAGTGGGCAAATTCTCACCGTTGATGGCCACTGGCACACTGGAAAAGTGTGCTCTTCACGGATCAATCCCGTTTTCAACTGTACCGGGCAGATGGCAGACAGCGTGTATGGCGTCGTGTGGGCGAGTGGTTTGCTGATGTCAACGTTGTGTGCCCCATGGTGGCGGTGGGGTATGGTATGGGCAGGCATAAGCTAAGGACAATGAACACAATTGCATTTTATCAATGGCATTTTGAATGCACAGAGATACTGTGACGAGATCCTGAGACCCATTGTCGTGCCATTCATCCGCTGCCATCACCTCATGTTCAGCATGATAATGCACGGCCCCATGTCGCAAGGATCTGTATACAATTCCTGGAAGCTGAAAATGTCCCAGTTCTTCCATGGCCTGCATACTCACCAGACATGTCACCCATTGAGTATGTTTGGGATGCTCTGGATCGACGTGTACGACAGCGTGTTCCAGTTCCTGCCAATATCCAGCAACTTCGCAAAGCCATTGAAGAGGAGTGGGACAACATTCCACAGGCCACAATCAACAGCCTGATCAACTCTATGCAAAGGAGATGTGTCGCGCTGCATGAAGCAAATACTGACTGTTTTTCTGATCCATGCCCCTACTTTTTTTTTTAAGGTATCTGTGACCAACAGATGCATATCTGTATTCCAAGTAATGTGAAATCCATAGATTGGGGCCTAATTTATTTATTTTAATTAACTGATTTCCTTATATGAACTGTATCTCAGTAAAATCTTTGAAATTGTTGCATGCTGCGTTTATATTTTTGTTCAGTGTAAAGACACAGTATTTAGAATCAAGGCAGGAAATAGAAGTAGTAGGATAGGTGCTAAAAGGATTTTTCAGGTTAGGAATATAAGAAAGACAGTCTGTAGAAATATGTTTAATGGCCCATTTTAAAAGTTCTGATTGATGGAGAAGCTCTCAGATGGTCAGGGAGAGCATTCCATAGGCGAGGGGCAAGGGAGCAGAAGGATAGGTCCCCCATAGTACGGAGACATGTCTTGGGGACTTGAAGCAGTGGTGAGTTGCTGGAGCGTAGTAAGGTAATGTACATGTCTATTGTCAAAATAAATAAAGTGTGTCAATGGAGAAAATGCAATTTTGGGAAAAACTGTAAAGCAATCCCTGGTTGATGGTTGCTGGTCCTGGGTTCAAATCCTAGTCTGGGCTACCTCCCGCATTTGCTGCAATTTGAACTATGTAGATGTTTATCAAACCCTCATTTTCCCATCTAGTATTCATTGTGTGAGATGATTTATCATGTGTCAGGCTTTGTACCATCTGCTCCCCCTTTTCATCAGAAAGGGCTTGACTACATAAGGTTCCATTTGCATGAGTGTAATTTAGCCAGTAGCTTCAGTAATTTATCAGCCTCCCAGTAAATTGGGGCAGGAAGAATTCATCAGCCAGTCTAGAACAGTGTTTTTTTTACTAACTAACCTGAGAGAATAACTAATGCCATCAGCCTGATGATTTGAATAGAGGGCACAGTGCTACCATTTCTAGCCATCGTGCTTTTACTGTATTGATGTAAAGTAGCACATTGGCTTTAAGAGTTGCATGCCCTATTGAAACCTTATCCTAAACTTTGGACCGCTAATTCAGCAAAAATATATATTTATTAGCAGCTTCCTCCAAGCTCACTCGTGTGCACATAATCACATGCATTATAGTGTAGTATATTTTATACAATATTATTATTTTATTCATGTTATATTTTAAAGTAAGTGAACACACTCAAAAATAGTAATAACTGATTGACCCTATCGTGTAATGATCTCATTGCCTGGAGTGTAAAAACAAGATGGCATTTTCATAGTCGGACTCAATTACACGTCAGCCTGTACATCTTCACTGGTCTAATTGTGTCTTTAAAATTGGATAGAGTGAGAATCAGATTGAGTGTATGTGCTCCGGTAACCTCCCTACGGGGTCTGGTTCTGACAGGACAGGGAGATGGCTGGCCATATTACAGTGATGAAGGAGTGAAATGGGGTTTCATCCATTAGCCCCCACACATTGTGCACCCTAATCACTGGAGCAGACATAATTCAGCTTGTAGGGCAGCATGGACACTGTGGCACCTCAATCATGTCATACTGAGCCAATGGAAATGAAAACTTACATGACATTGTTTTGAGGCAGTTATCCTCTGATGATTCATATCATGATGATGATAATCCTAAAGCAAAAGAGTACACTTTCTACTCAAACAGGCATAAATCATTCTCACAAACCGATGTAATACTATTATCTACACCTCTATTTTCTTTAATTAAGAAAATAGAAATTTGACATATGAGCTTGTCTGACCACCATGCTTACTACTGCCAACTTAACATTTCTGAATCTCCTAAAAGAGCCACAAGATGGCATTTCAACATTTCATTACTACAAAATCCTACATTCTGTGATCAATTTGAAATTTCACTAAATTAATTCATAATGATCAATAAAAATTATGTCGATGACCCCCGGATTATATGGGATGCCACCAAAGTTATTTTTTTAAATAATGCAACTGCATTTGCATCTGCGTTGAATAAATCACAATAAAAGAAGATATCAGATTTGGAAATGTGTTAACTTTGTTACAGCTTTCTCAACAAACACTATTTTCAGACCAGGAAGTTATTACTCTTTCCAAAGTCAAGACAGAACTTAATTTATTAATAACACAGAGATCAGAATTTGCCATCCATCGAGGAAGACTCAACCATTACATCCATGGTAATCGTCCCAGTCATTTACTGGCCAACAAGCTATGCAGTATTGATCAATTAGCTGATATAGCAACTATTGAATCTGAAACAGGGGAATTACTATCAGAACCCAAATTAATCAATCAGATTCTACCGCATCTATAAAGAACTGTATGTAAATCCACAGCAAGCCAGACTACGTCATTTTTAAAAGAATTAAGAAATCATCTTCTCTCAACAGAGGAAGCCACCACACTGGGAGTCCAAATCTCTCTCAATGAACTCAAAAGGAATCAGTTAGGTCCACTATTGCTCGAAATGATTAATACAGCCGTTCACAAAGGTTCATTTGGGATAGATGTGAATACAGCACTAATTTCCTTTTAATAAAAAAAGTTAAGGATGCCACCCAGTGTTCTCACTATCACCCCCTATCTTTGATAAACACAGATATGTTGATAAACTGTTTTCTAAAATGTTGTCGTCCCATCTCAAGACTTACTTACCCAAATTGGACCACACGGACCAAAGCGGGGGTGTTAAAAAGTGTTTATCCTCGGATAACCTCTGTCAACTATTACATATCTTAGATGCTTCATCAGAAACAACAGCTCCTTGGTCTGTATTATCTCTCGATGCAGAAAAAGCTTTTGATAGACTAAGAATGGTCATATCTCTGGTCTGTCTTGGAACATATGGGAATTGGCAAAAAAAGTTATAATATGATTTAAATACTACATGCCAATCCCTCAGCCATAGTTACAACTGGCAATATCTGCTCTGCTCTGATCAGAATCACTAGAAGCAGCAGACAACGCAATCCAATTTCGACCTTTGCCATTGTTATTATCCATGGAACCCCTGGCCCAGGAGATCGTCAATCGAACACCAATTTCCCTCAAATCTACTGATCACTTCATCTCATTATACTCAGACAATGTATCTCAATCGCTCCCAAAAGCATTGAAGATCATGGATAAATTCAGCTTAATCTCAAGCTCTAAGATGTATGTAACCAAATTAGCCCTACTGCCTCTCAAGACCCCGATGGAGGACTCCATCTTTACTTATGGAATCCCAATCGTTTCCCATTTTGGATTAGATATATTTGCTTCCTCAGATAAAACCATTGCCAGAAACTTTAACAGAATACTCAAATCAATTCAATCCGACCTCTGTTGATGGAATAATATCCCAATTAAACTGGCAGAATATCTATTGTCAAAATGAAAATATTGCCACAGCTTTTCTGTAGTTCCATTCTTACCATGGCTCTCCCTTCTGGCTATTGGGATAAAATTCATAGTGTGGTAAAAAAAAAATGTTACGGCAAGGTAAACAATCCCGGATAAAATTTACAAATTTACAAAGAGGGAAAGACGTAGGAGGACTATCTGTACCAAACTTTAAATTTTATTTCCAGGCACTAGCATGTCGCCCTATCCTTAATTGGTTTAGACATGATTTTTCTGTCCCCCTAGCTTAGTATAGAAAGACATATGGTGTCTCCTAACACCCTAGAAGAGGTGGTCTTCACTGATATATCCCTTAAACAATGTAAACTACGCTTTGGTCCTATTATTACTCACAATTTCTATTTGGGGCAAAATTTTAAAACAATGTAACTGGGAATCAAATTTCATGCCCCCAATGGTCCAAATGTGGAATCCGGACCCTTACCGATATCATCAACAGTAATGGTTTGAGAACACTCCAAGATTTGAAAGATACATACTGTACACATTACGAGGCAACTCCTTTTTTCTATATTTACAACAGCTATGCTGGCCTATGGAGTCCCTTGGGAAACCGAACTACCGAACCATCCAATGATTGGTTTTATAAATAAATTATCTGGGCTCCCGAAAACACTGATCTCTATAACATATAAAAAAAGCTGATATTCTGATCTAGCCATTAAAAAAGTATGGTCCACAGTTCTAATTGAAAATGAACAACCCTTTAACTGGAACAGAATATGGAAAAATATGACCTTAGCATCCCGTAATCCGAACCATCAATTTATACATTTTAAGTTTGTTCACAGACTGTATTTAACAGCAAGGTTGTGGCAAAGTTACAAAGTTCATTTCGTGGTGAATTAATTTAAATATTCAATGCTTTGCATCTATTATGTTACTTAAAGATGATAGCCCCTTGAATCTCTCAACCAATCAGAGAAGATTACTGATGGCAGGCAGAACTGCTGCAAAAAACATTTTGGCTCTAAGATGGCAACCACCTCACTTTCTTTCCCATTTAACCAGTGGATACAGTTACTATTATAAGTTATAATCGACAGCGAGAAGTAATTGTGTTAGTCAAGGAACAATTGAGTCCTGGACAAATATACTTGAATCTGTAAAGAAACAACAAAACTAAATAAAAAGTTGGTCCTAAAAAATGTAATATCATGATTTGATGATGATGATGATGATGATGATTTGGAACAGTTTGGGTGTTTCTTACCGGTATCTTACTATTATCGGTGATAGTAATAGTAATGATGAAAGAGATAATATTGCGTATAACTACTACACAGATGAGGATGAAAATAATCTAATCTTTGTAATGAAATTATAAACTATTAATGGCATTGTATAAGCAGCTTAAAAAGTGCCTTATGTAAGGTAAAGTTTAACCGAATAATGTTCACACATGATAGCATTATTTATACTAAACTGTCTCTAACAACTAATTCAAACAAATGTATTTACATAAAGATACGTTTAATTGTTAATGGTTATACAGTCAATAGGATGTTTATAAATTTAAGATATAATTTGCGAATAATGAAAAGGACGAGTAAGAATTTTCTCTCAATCTGTGATTGTCTTAAAAGTCATACAGGTAACTATTAATTATGCTAATTAATAATTTACACTTACAACTTCTCAGTAAATATAATGCACCGAATCACTCCCTGTAGCAGATGAACTTCAGCTTCCTCTCACATTTTCCGGATCCCCAATGGAGCTTTTTAGTGTTAATGCTTCCACAAGGAAATGCAGAGGAACAATTATCATCCCACCCCTCTCTGTTCTCGTACTCCAGGGCATCCCCGTTCACCCACAGCCAGTAGCCACCATGGAAGCATAGGCCCATCCACACCAGCGGACTATCAGTGGTATTCTTGATCTCCTCCTGGATCTTTCTCATTGCAACGTTATTCTCGTTCTCAGAGAGAAGGCTGACGATGTCAGTGAAATGCTTTCTACAGTAACGCACGGCCTCCTCCCATGTCTTCTTCTCATGGACCAGGGTCATCTCCTCAAAGCAGTAGAAAGTGAATTGCGAATCACTGAACTGATAAAATGTCAGTACTTTTTTGCCAATGAAGACACAGTTCCCTGTGTCTTCAACTGAGTTGATTGAGTGGTTATTCTAACACCTTATCATTTGGTTATTGGTGTCTATGGGCACACTAACCCAACCAATAGATCCATCCAAACCCGCTGCATCTTCAATGGAGGCCAAGCCAGTGTAGTGCTCACTGCAGTACCTATGTGCGTCTGTGCTGTTCATCTGGCTGTCCACGTTGAAGAGCTCTCTCACCAGACCGGAGGCCACCCCACATAGAGCTGTGATGAGGAGGCCAGTGTAGCTGCTCTTCCCCTGCATGGTGCCTCAGTGTTCTTGGCGGACTGGAGATGCCCTCCTCGTCTTCTGATGCTGGTGCTCTCTCTGACCGTGGGTCACTGTGTTTACCTGCAGCCCCATCCCTTAAGCAAACTGCCCATCTGCCTCTCAGGCAAATTCTTGGAGTCATGCAAAATCCTCCCTGTCTCCTGACGAGTATGTTGGATGGACATGGGGGAAACCCATTTGAAGTGATGGTCTGTACAATCGTCATACTTCTTTGACTCAACTCACTTTGCAAACAAGTTCTGGGTAGGCGTGGTGAAGTATTAATTTTGGAGACTTCTAGTTTGGGCATGTTCATTTTGGATTAATCTAGCAAGTCTAAAGAGAATGTCATTTTATGAGTATATATTTAATTTCAAACTGGGTGATACAAGCCCTGAATGCTGATTGGCTGACTGTCAAGGATGTTGTAAGTGGGTGTGGTGGTGGAATCAGGCGCAGGACGCAGAAGTATAGTTCCAAAGACTTTAGTGAAATCTCTAACCGTGCAAGCACTAAATAGCCCGAAGGCGAAACTCCGCGCGCAGGCGAAACAAAACGTGCGCACAAACAGGTGCGACAAAACTCTCCAAACTATGGAGGACAGCTCTACCGAGCAAATAGTCAATACATCCAGCAACAAAGCACGACAGTGAAAACAATCACACACAACACTAACACAAACCCAAGGAGAACTTATAGGACACTAATACACTAAACGAAAACAGGTGTGACAACAATTAGACAAAAGCAAACGAACATAGAAACATGCAACGGTGGCAGCTAGTATTCCGGAGACAACGAACGCCGAAGCCTGCCCGAGCAAGGAAGAGAGGCAGCCTCGGCCGAAACCGTGACAGTACCCCCCCCTTGACGCGCGGCTCCAGACGTGCGCCGACTCCGGCCTCGGGGACGACCAAGAGGACGCGGAGCAGGATGCGTCGGGTGCCCACGATGGAATTCCGTCAGGAGAGACGGGTCCAAAATGTCCCTCCTTGGCACCCAGCACCGTTCCTCCGGGCCGTACCCCTCCCACTCCACTAGATATTGGAGACCCCCCATCCGACGTCTCGAATCCAAGATGGACCGCACGGAGTACGCCGGTGCCCCCTCGATGTCCAATGGGGGCGGAGGAGTCTCCCTGATCTCACTTTCTTGGAGTGGGCCAGCTACCACCGGCCTGAGAAGAGACACATGGAACGAGGGGTTAATACTTTTATATTCAACAGGTAGTTGTAATTTGTAACACACCTCGTTCAACCTTCTCAGGACTTTAAATGGCCCTACAAACCGCCGACCCAGTTTCCGACAGGGCAGGCAGAGGGGCAGGTTTCTGGTAGAGAGCCAGACTCGATCACCAGGTGCGTACACCGGTCCCTCACTGCGGTGGAGATCGGCGCTCACCTTATGACGCCGGAGGGCCCGCTGCAGGTGGACGTGTGCAGCGTTCCATGTCTCCTCCGAGCGCCGCACCCACTCATCCACCGCAGGAGCCTCGATCTGGCTCTGCTGCCAAGGTGCCAGAACCGGCTGGTAACCTAACACACATTGGGAAAGGGGTTAGGTTAGTGGAGGAATGGCGTAGGGAATTCGGGGCCATTTCGGCCCAGGGAACGTACCTTGCCCACTCCTCTGGCCGTTCCTGGCAGTATGTTCTAAGAAACCTACCCACATCCTGGTTCACACGTTCCACCTGCCCATTACTCTCCGGGTGGTAACCCGAGGTGAGGCTCACCGAGACCCCCAATCGCTCCATAAAAGCTCTCCAGACTCTGGAGGTAAATTGGGGACCTCGATCAGACACAATATCCTCGGGTACCCCGTAGTGCCGGAACACATGGGTGAATAGTGCTTCGGCGGTTTGCAGGGCAGTAGGAAGGCCCGGCATGGGGAGCAAACGACAGGCCTTAGAAAACCGGTCCACAACGACCAGTATAGTGGTATTACCATGTGAAGGAGGAAGGTCAGTTAGGAAATCCACCGAGAGGTGAGACCATGGTCGTTGTGGAACGGGCAGGGGTAGTAACTTACCCCTAGGCATATGTCTAGGCGCCTTACACTGGGCGCACACCGAGCAGGAGGAAACATAAACCCTCACATCCCTCGCCAACGTGGGCCACCAGTACTTGGCACTAAGACAGTGCACTGTCCGGCCGATACCAGGGTGTCCAGAGGAGGGTGACGTGTGAGCCCAATAGATCAATCGATCCCAAACCTCGAGCGGAACGTACTTCCAACCCTCCGGGCATTGAGGTGGACTAGGGTCGGTGCGTAACGCTCGCTCGAGTTCAGCATCGACCTCCCACACTACCGGTGCCACCAGACACGACTCCGGCAGTATGGGAGTGGGCTCCACGGACCTCTCCTCCGTGTCATACCGCAGAGACAGTGCGTCTGCCTTACCATTCTGTGACCCAGGGATGTACGTGATCTTGAATGTGAACCGGGTCAAAAACATATTCCACCTCGCCTGGCGAGGGTTCAGCCTCCTCGCTGCCCGGATGTACTCCAGGTTACGGTGGTCCGTCAAAATGAGGAAAGGGTGTTGAGCCCCCTCAAGCCAGTGCCTCCACACCTTTAGGGCCTGTACCACGGCTAACAGCTCCCTGTCCCCTACGTCATAGTTTCGCTCCGCCGGACTGAGCTTCTTGGAATAAAAAGCACAGTGGAGTTTAGGTGGCGCGCCGGACCGTTGCGAAAGCACGGCTCCTATACCGGCCTCTGACGCGTCCACCTCTACCTGAAATGGCAAAGAGGGATCCGGATGCGCCAGCACCGGGGCCGAGGTAAACAGGTCCTTCAGCCTCCCAAACGCCCTGTCCGCCTCGGCAGACCACTGCAGACGCACCGGACCCCCCTTCAAAAGAGACGTGATGGGAGCTGCCACCTGGCCAAAACCCCGGATAAACCTCCGGTAGTAATTCGCAAACCCCAAAAACTGCTGCACCTCCTTCACAGTGGTTGGTGTTTGCCAATTACGCACGGCTGACACCCGGTCTACCTCCATCTTCACCCCTGACGCAGACATCTGATACCCCAAAAAGGAGACCGACTCCTGGAAAAACAGACACTTCTCTGCCTTGACATACAGGTCGTGCTCCACCAGCTTCCGCAACACTCTGCGCACCAGGGCCACATGCTCGACTCGGGTAGGCGAGTACACGAGAATGTCATCTATGTACACAACCACCCCCTGCCCCTGCATGTCCCTGAAGATCTCATCCACGAATGATTGGAAAACTGACGGAGCGTTCATCAACCCGTATGGCATGACAAGATACTCGTAATGGCCCGAGGTGGTACTAAAGGCTGTCTTCCATTCATCGCCCTCCCTGATGCGCACCAAGTTGTACGCGCTCCTGAGATCTAATTTTGTGAAGAAACGTGCCCCATGCAATGACTCAGTCATGGTCGCAATCAGCGGGAGTGGATAACTGTACTTCACCGTGATCTGATTGAGACCACGGTAATCGATGCACGGGCGTAACCCACCATCCTTTTTCTTCACAAAAAAGAAACTCGAGGACGCAGGGGAAGTGGAAGGCCGTATGTATCCTTGTCTCAGAGATTCGTCTATGTAAGTCTCCATAGCTTTCTTCTCCTCCTGAGACAGAGGATACACATGGCTCCGTGGGAGCGCAGCTCCTGCCTGGAGGTCTATCGCACAATCTCCCTGCCTATGGGGCGGCAACTGCGTCGCCCTCGACTTACTAAACGCAATAGCCAAATCCCCATACTCAGGGGGAACGTGCAATGCGGGCACCTGGTTTGGACTCTCCACCGAGGTAGCCCCTTCGGAAACGCCTAAACATCGACCCACACACTGGGCAGACCACTCCATCAGAGCCCTCTCCTGCCACGAAATAGATGGGTTATGGGTACTCAACCAGGGCATGCCCAGCACCACCGGATACGCAGGCGAGTCGATCAGAAATAGCTGGATCATCTCCTGATGACCCCCCTGCGCACACATCCTAAGTGGCGCTGTAACCTCCCTGATCAAGCCCGCACCCAACGGACGGCTATCTAGGGCATGAACGGGGAAAGGAACGTCAACAGGTAGAAGGGGAATCCCTAAGGCTAAACAAAATTGCTTATCAACAAAATTCCCAGCCGCGCCTGAATCTACCAGCGCCTTATGCTGGGAATGAGGTGCTACCTGTGGAAAACGCACAGGTATACAAAAGTGTGCAACAGAGAGCTCTGGGTGAGTGGGGCGCCTACTCACCTGGAAGGACTCCCCAGTGCGGGACCTGTCGTCTTCCCCCCTAGGAGGCCATCCCCAGCACCTAGCCGCGGTGTGTCCTCCCCGACCACAGTTGGTGCAGGAGATGGACCCCCTCGTATTCCGAACCCCTCCTCTCTCTAGCGCCAGCGCCACCGAGCTCCATGGGGCACGGCTCGGAAGCGCTGGAGGGTGAAATGGACGGACCCCCCTCGGGACGTCCGCGGGTAGCTAGCAGGGTATCCAGCCTGATGGACATGTCGACCAACTGGTCGAACGAGAGACTGGTGTCCCTACAGGCCAGCTCCCTACGGACGTCCTCACGTAGACTACATCGATAGTGATCGATAAGGGCCCGCTCATTCCACCCTGCATCCGCCGCTAGAGTGCGGAATTCTAAGGCGAACTCCTGGGCACTCCTCCTCCCCTGCCGGAGGCCGAACAGACGCTCCCCCGCCGCTTTCCCCTCCGGGGGATGGCCAAACACCGCCCTGAAGCGGCGGGAGAACTCGTCGTAGGTGATGGTGTTAGCGTCTATTCTCCTCCACTCTGCGTTGGCCCATTCCAACGCTTTACCGGAAAGGCAAGAGATCAGGGCGGACACGCTCTCGTGCCCCGAGGGCGCCGGGTGCACGGTGGCCAGGTAAAGCTCCACCTGGAGAAGGAATCCCATCCGCAGGATCTGGTCATCTTGCTGGCGGACCCTGTCCTCCAGCGTCGCCTGCGCTGCTTCGGCTCCTGCTGATTCCATTTAACGGTGTGTGATTCTGTC